TTTTTTGCAGTGCACCACCTTGACTGGTATGTTGTACAGATTTTGTTTTTAAAGTCAACACATAGGATCATTTTCATACATTTAACTCTTTAAAAGCTAAAAAATAATAGAAGATCCCCAATAATGCTACTAAACCTAATAAAATCTGAGGAACAAAAATAAAAACTGAACATAAATTGAAATAAAGAGATGAATTCAGAAAAACTGTAACTTGGTCTAGTTTTACAAAAAATAATGAGACTCCACATGAATTACTGAGCTGTAAATAATTGAAGCATGAAGGGGACTGTGTTTAATTTGACTTTTTAACTATTTCGGTGAACATATTTGCACAGAATCTTAAACATCACAACGATAAACCTCAAGAAAGAAGGTTTCCCTGCATCACTTTTTTCAAAAAACGAACTCTGGTGTATTTCTGTCGATTTCGTTTTCAGTCATCGTGCCGGTTGACAGACATTTTTGATATCCATTTCTGATATCTTCAGAAACTTTCTTCTTGCACCCTGCTGAGACTGACATGTCCGCTTTGCATACCAGATATTTCCTGAAATCCCAGATCTATCACGCCATTAAAGTTTCAAGACTTGCTCTTGCTTCAAAAGGGCAGCGCGGCTTTACTTTTAAGCATATCTTCTCCTTCATGTAAAACTCCACGGTGCATAAAGAGCAGTATGTAAATATTACAATCTCTGCAGACAGAGTTACAGCCGGTTCTTCGTTTTTTATTTTTATTCGCGTTTTAATCTTTTTTTTTTTGTCTGTTCTGATTTAGTTTGATTAAAGTCCTGTTTCTACACGTTTCTGAAACAGATGCATACACAGACGATGACCTGATGCTGTACTGGAAGAAAGGAAATGAGTCCCTGAACACGGATGACAGAATATCTCTCTCCCAGTTCCTGATCCAGAAATTTCACACCACCACAAAGCTGGCTTTTTACAGCAGCACAGGTACTACTACTCCGCACACTTTTTTTGCTTCATTGCTGAATTAAAACTTCAAAAAATCTCATTTCACTTTTCCCGTTCCATTTCTTATAAAGGAATCCAGTTTTTCATGCATGAACTCATCATCTCCATAGCCAATATAGAGGGAGAATATAAAGCCTTGCAGAAAAGTGAAACAGACAGGCTGTTGTGAGCCTCCTGTGTGCTGCAGGAAACCCAATGAAAGCATTACACTGTTCAAACAACCACTTGTCACTTTCCAGCAACTCAAAACATAAAGAGGATTTTGTGTGCTATCTCCCTCTGCCAGAGTTGCTGGGACGATGCTTCTAGTGTTGACATGGTTCATCAGCTGCCAGCTCCTGACAATATGAATGTAACAGGCGCTGTTTCTGTTTTCTCCCTCTCCTGTAGGCTGGTACAATCGTTTGTACATCCACTTCACCCTGCGGCGCCACATCTTCTTTTTCCTGCTGCAGACTTATTTCCCCGCCACTCTGATGGTGATGTTGTCCTGGGTTTCCTTCTGGATTGATCGCAGGGCCGTGCCTGCCAGGGTGCCGCTAGGTAGGCCCAACCTTTATTATAGACGCAAAAAGAATAAAAGCATCTATTAAAAGCTTAAAAAAACATTTAAGTAATGTGTTGTTTATGTGTTTCTACTAATTCAAATCTAAACAAATAAGCTCAATTATTCACATTTAGATGAGGGTCAATTTCTTCAAAGCACATATTTCATCATTTTTATTTTATTTTATTTTTTTT